ATATACAGCTAGTTGGATCCATAATTAACGACCTTTGTGAATGCATGACATTTTTCCTTTGATTCAGTCAAACAAACTCACTCCAATGCGTCCACTGTTGGCCAATCAGCGTTCATGCGAGAAACGTGTGAACGTCCCAATCAGCTGCCGCCTTTCCTTGCGGCAGCCTAACGGCTTCCTTGCTGGGCTGGCACCGCACGTTCGTTCGAGTGTATACTCCCATCAGAAAGATGTGGTCGATGCAGCCACGACTCCGACGAAACCCGGCTTGCTCCTCACGAATCTGGCTTTCACGAGTGCCAGTCAGTCTGTAATGGATTATGGAGGCGATGGAGATCAGACTGATTCCTCTATGGTTGCCGCATTCCGAACGCGAGCCTCCTTTGAAGATGGGAACAATAACGGAGCGGCTCCAGTCGGTTGGGACAGTCTCCTGCTCCCACAGTTTCACTAGTAATTCATGTAAAGCATCAGCAAGAGCAGAGCCTCTGCATTTGAAGAGGGATGGAGGAAGATCATCTGGTCCCGCGGCTTTGTTCAACTTCAACAGTCCGATCTCACGTTCGACTTCTGAACGAGAGGGTGGATGCAAAGGGACAGCACACGGAGCAGGGCGATCACTGGGCGGCGAAGAATCGAACAACTCTAGTCGATTAAATTGCTTTTCAAAATGCTCAGCCCAACGCTCTAAATGTTTTGACAAATTGTGGATAGGCTGTCCACTCTCATCACAAATTGTTTCACTAACACCAGGTCTCTTGCTGCCCGTTTCACGTATCAGACGGAATAGCGCGATGTTTTCCAAGGATTTGCCTGCTGCTAGTAGGGTCTGGCGAACATGTGACCAGTGATCATCACTTGTCTCCATTGAGCGCTTACTCAATTCGCATGTCATCGTACTTCGATACGTATTCAGGATAGATGGCTTCGCCAGTTGGCTGGTGTCAATGCGCTCACAGCGCCGTCGTGGGCGTCTGCCAAAACGCATCCGCAGATCAGCACATACAAGTTAGATTGTAAATACATCCAGACAAAAGTAGAGAGCAATTCATTTCCACGGTGCTCCATACGAATTCATTTATCATACTGAACTGAGAGTCTACTATTAGTGGAGTGTTTATCTGATTCCGAGTATAAATAGCACATCTGCTCCCCTTATCAACTTGTCGGCTGTTCGTAAAACGGAGGAAGTTATGCCAAGTCCCAGTGATGGGTAGTAGTAGATCAGGGGTTGAGGGAGCAATCAGATGACGAGGTGTGTTTTACTGCTCAGAGAGCGAGCATTAATACGAAACGACTTGTCAGCGCCTTGCTCGTGTGTCAGATTAGAGCTGCATTGAGTAATAGACGTGTGGTATTGTTGTTGCGTACATCGGTATTTATGGTGGGGTTGGGATGGTGGAAAACTCCGAGTACGGGGCTACAGTAAGTCTGGTATAATTATGCTAGATTGGGAAGGTGGTTGCCAAAATGTTGCTTCACTGTACTGACAGGACGTGGACGGTAGGTTACAACCGTGATCAAAAGTCGTACCGTTTGGTCACGAGTTGCACATGTTGGTGACCTGTAAAACTACGCGGGGCAGCGAATGCTACCTTGTATTTCGTCAAACAGAGTTTTTTAAACTGCTTTTTGATAACTAAATGGAGTGAGTCTTCTTAGGTTCTGACATTATAAGTATAACGATTTGATCTCAGATAGTTCAGATAGGCAAAGCAGCAGTAGAGCTGAGCGCTCCACAGAAGGCTTGTTGTCTTCTACAAGTTAGGTTCTGTGTAAGTGTTCACAGAATCTCGTCTATTTTGTATGTAGTCTATTTAAAACTAGAACTGTTCCCGGACCAACATTCTTCCGGAAGGGACTCGTTTCGTTTTAGCAACGGTCCGATAATTTTTACTTCTAGGTTCGGGTTATTTGCTAGTTTGTTGTTCATACTTGGCTTACGTGGTTCGATAATTACTTTGTTACTTTGCGTGAAAGCTTTGTGTAGTTTCCTTCACGATCACACTATCTTCTAACTTGATTGCACAGGAAATCTTTCATGGCATAACCTTCATCCGACACATTAGTGACATCGAGGTCAACATTGTGGGACAGACTTCAGTCAGATCAGCTCCAATCACTGCAGATATGAATTCAGTATTCCCTACGATTTGATTCCGGTTATTAATGAACGATTGGTGTTAGCTGTCTTATGATTGATTCCATAACACTCATTTAGGTCTTAAGGTCTCCTAACTCAGTTTCCATGAAGTATGTTACATGGATACCTTGGTTGCTGGGTATCCCTCGTCTGCTGCGGTGTTTTCACGACAACAGGCGAGACTACAATTGATTTGTGCGTTCTGTCTCGTAGCTGATCTCGTTGTAGGAACTGAAACTTTTGCAGTCATTGTGACTCGCACCATTTCCATTGAAAGAGAAAACTGGAATTCCGGTGCTAATGTATGTCTCACCAATTTACGTTTCCGCTTGTCTAGAATGAATATTTTTAATGAGAGTACACGTGACCACCACGGTTAATAATTTTGGAGCGAACTACGAATGACCGCAAATAAATAAGGTGGAATAGAGCAACTATATGAGTGTGCACTACAACAGTGGTAACAAGAGGATAACAAGAAAGACTCGCCGTTTATGAACTTGCGCCACTCTATTCGTTGCGTAACACTCGGTACTGGTTTTTGCGCCCGTCGCCCCAGTGGGGTCATACGCGTTCGCGACGCGTCCGGGTTAGTCACGTGTTCCTGAGATTGACGGCGCGAAGTGCATGTTATCTATGCGACCTGTGTTTGGATGGTGAGTGCGTAGCTGCCGTGAACCGGGGTAGAATGAAGGCAGAGAACAAAGTGACTTAGAAAGGACTATCTAATGGCAACAAGGCTTATAACTATCACTTCGTACAGCGACTAGAAGGAATGATAGTGATATTTTTGGATGGTACTCAGAATGGTTTTCTGAATAAACCCATAAGAATTCTTGTTGGGCACGAAGAAGATGAAATTTTGCGCATAGGTTCTAACACGGATGACTTGGAAATTGCCGAAACGCGGTAATTGATCTAAAATAAAGAGGGTAATAAGGTTTCACGAAGCCGCATCGGATTATAGTACGTAGGTCCTTGCGCGAATATATCTGGAGATTTAACTATGCATAACGCAGGAGGATGGAATTAGTGACAATGGCAGTTCCGCGACTTGGAAGCTGGGCTGTGACACTCAGACCATTTCCGTCTGTATGTCATCAGAATTATTCGATAACGTCATGGTGTGCTCACCGGCGTACGCTTTTGTTCTCCCTCATCAGAAGCGTAGAATTTTGTACTAATCAAGTTTATCATTTGAAGCGTTTCTGCGAAATCCTTTAATATCAACCCCGTCTTGCTTTTAATATACCTTCAAACCGCTTACTTCATCATGTACGGTTTAAATAACTGCATTGAAAAAGAATCACAAAGTGTAATTTGTGTGATGCCGCCGCCATTTCGTGCATTCTTATCAATCACAAACACGTAGCAGTGATGGATAAATCTAAGTAGTGTGATACGAGATCTGTAGTTGACTAAGTGTTTGCACCAGGAAGGTAGGTTTAGAGCCACAATTTGCTGTTTTTAGATGAGAAGCGTTGGGCGTTCGCGATGGATAACTGAGTTTTTAAGGAGCGAGGAGCCTCCGTGAGACAGCTAGCTTCACCACTCAGCAACGACGAAAACTGTTCGAGAAAGTTCACTAGTAACCTCAAAAAGTAGTGTCGCCATATCCAGTATCATTCCCATGTTCTGTTGTTATCCATGTGTCGGCCTTATCCTTAGGTTTCGCTTGGGAAAACGGATGTGTTCTTGCTCCTGCATGTGCTAATGCCGATCACGGGTAGGGGACCGTTTCCTCATGCGACAATGGGAGGCGAAAATAGATCAATTGCGCAATTCTATTTTGTCAATCTGTTCGATACCTTTTGTTTCTGCTTTTCTGGTACCACTGCGAACTGTTTCTATTCCACATCAGCTACAAATAATCGTATGATGAATTTGTTAATTTTGCAAGTACAATCAATTTTCATTGCGAGCAGTTCTAGTGAACAGAGATAATGGACCACCAGTCAAATGTCTCAAAATCCTTTGGTTCGTATATAACGCTGCTTAATAAAATTGACTCTGTGTCCAGTACCGTCAACTACTAACGCTGTTGATTCATGTAAGTCAATTTAGCCACAACTCTTGTCTAGAAAATGTGCGTGGGAATCTAATCTAGAGTCCGTAATCGTTGGGGCTATATGAGCTACCTGCTGCGAGGTTTGGCAACACACTAGATTCCAATCCAAGAGACGCCGGTGTCATATATCCGACAAACGTAGTCACGAGTAGAGTCATTGCGACCCCGACGAAGTTAGCACACATGTGGTGATCAGATGCCTCGGAAAGTTTTGTCTATGGTTTTTGCAAAACAAAGTTGCTTTGTTTGGATAGACGACCGGATTGCGATATGATCTCAACCTAAGGACCGTGTCTAAGTTAACTGCCGTCTATAATCTTGTCTGCTTACTTACTGAACTGAAGGGATTTGCAAATGCTCCCCTCCACTTTCTTCTGGAGACTTCATTCAGGAGTTATGAATGACAGAAACCTGGATTTTTCTCTGCCAATCGAAGTCACATCTCCGGCTGCCACCATATTTCTGGGCGACTGCCCCTTATATTATTATCTCCTCTGGTTGAATATTTCAACGGGCTGTATGCACGCACTTTCTGAATGGTAGCATTTGATTCAAATACGGAGCGATCAGTAACACTTTTTCACACAGGCCACATTTTCCCCCTTAAATGAGCAAACAGTTCGAGTTCAAACACTACGCACATGTTTACTCATTTACCTCCTGTGTCCTTTATTCCTTGGTGATGCACATCATCTCTCTTCAGATTTGAGCCAGGCGGAGGTTGCCAGATCGCTTCGAGTTCTGTACAATTTCCAGCGCTCAGGATCTCTTGTCTCTCGAGTGGAACGCATGGATTTGACCTTGAACAATCTACTTCTAGTGTACCCTGTCTTCCTGCGTTGGCTAAAAGACACTGAAGCAGATGAGACTCGTGAGGCCATTCTTCGTAGTGCCAAAGGAGAAGTCGTCGACGAGACAATTGTTAAGCAGATGAGTGAAAAAGTAAGCGATACATTTCCGTTTGCGCAGAAACTAAGGAAGACGTGCGTTCGTCTTTGTGAATTTCATCCTGCGAATTCCATCTTTGGCATTATTGGGTCGCTTGCTATGCGATTTCACATCGGGGTAGTGGTATGCACAGTAATAATCGACGCTGCCGAATTTTTGAGCGTTGCCCATTGTTGAAACTCGCACCTATTTATTTTATAGTTTGCTTTGCAATTAGTTCCGTTTCTTGAATCTGGTTTTGTCTTTGTAGTAATACTGGTGAAGACGCGTTGTTCGAAGTTTTCCAAGTGACTGCTGCTGACGCCCCAGAACCGGTTTCACGCTCATGTTACAATGCACATCCCCATCATAGTCCATACTGTCTATCGATTTCCCAAACCTTTCTTAAACTATGTTGGCTTAGTTTGGAAGCCTTCTGATATGGCCGATGGGATTGCTGGTTTGAGTCCCATTTGTTTCTTGCTTTAAAGCTTGGGCACAACGATCTATTTTCCGGTAGTAATTCGCCACATCTAGACTCAATCAGACAGCCACCACACTCCCGGAAAAAAATGTATGGTTGTTTCATCCTTTTGGGAGTCGTCAGCAGTGCGCACTCCATCTGACCCTTGTAGGGCTGGAACCTGCAGTTCGACTGAGTCTAGATGTGATGAATTACTACTTATACCATTCAACTCCCCCTACTGTTACTTTTTGATATATTTTTCGCCAATTCTCGCATCCTATATACCATCCTCTTTTGAGTGGGTTAGGTGACCGGACCTATCTACACACGTATACGGTTATTGTGTTCTGATGAATTAATCTACGCAATCGATGGTAACTAACGATGTCCAGGAATCGATCACCATCGCTCTGGAGTAACTCATGAGCGTAATCAGACTGCTCATCTTGAAAGTGAATTCGGATACAATCCAACCGACTCGTTTATGACGATAGTGACTTGGACAGTGTGCTGAACACTTCGAGCGGGAATTCGATCGTATGCATGCCCCATGTGAGCTTCCTTTGGCACTCACATCACTCTTTTGCTTGTGAAACTCGCAGCTCCGTTTAAATTTAAAATATCATGCGTCTCGCACGTTGAACTACTGATTTAGCATACTACTCGATCAGTAGGATGAGTGGTATCAAGCGGATAATCAGACCCCTATTTACGTACGGTAATACTGATCGGTCAGCTCATCTAACCCTCGGATGGTTGCAAATCAGTTCCTTCCGTGTGCGCCGACAACCGCCCAGCGGCGATATTGAAAACCTTCGTTTGATGAGCACTCTTGACAATTGTAATATTAAACTAGCATTTCATTTTACTCGAGATTCATCTTTTTCGGCCAGCTGCTTTCATCATGTTTTTCACATGTGTGTCACCGTAACAGCGCTTCGCTGCCGCGCGACCATTACCAGTCGCGCGCTTGCTGAGTATACCACGAGGACGCCCACGCCTGCGCGGATTCGAACCGGGGACCTTATGGTTGCAAATCAGGCGCGGACCACTCGGCCACCGGTGGACACATAGACACACACAGGACTTCTGATTAGTGATGAAAACGTTCCGATATTTGGGTTGTAGGGCGCAGGTCACTGGTTCGAGCATATCTAAGTGCGAATGATGATCTCACAGTAGCCCCGGCTCCATGCAACCGCGGTAGCGATCACGTGACACTGGACACCTTCAGTACAAAGTTCCGGTGTACTTAAGAAAAACTGTTTTTCATCCACAGTGAAATGTCAAGTGAAATTTATTATGAACAAGAAAGTCAGCTTGTTCTCCTTTCGTTTTGTCGGCCACGTAAAGAGAGCATCGTCAACTAACAAATGTCGTGTTACATGCCCTACACCTCATCGTCCCACCGATGGACTATCCCATAGGCCACGAGGACTTTTGCTGAATTTTGTCCAGGACGAATGTTTGCTCGCCCCACAAATCGTTGTCTTTTGTAAGATTACCGCACTGATCAATGTGATCGGGATCAGCAGATTAGTCCACGCGTATCCGTGGAGTTAGGTTAATCTCTGGTAATAGGATATCCCTAGCCGTTTATGATAGTGGTTATTTCGTTGGCCTACCTATCGGTCTGCTAAGTAAAACCAGCGTCTCTATAATCATGGGATTCAAGCTTGCAATTGTCTTCTAATGTAGCCAAATGAGCCTGTTTGCCACCCTCTCATCACCGCTTGTAGGTGCTTGTGCAAAATCCAGTTCATCTGTTTGTCGCTAAGATCGGAAACCACGCGCTACTACCAGCTTGTCCCAAGTTTACTGTTCGTTGGTTCCTGTAAATTTGATGGTAACCTTCACCTACTTACATTAAACGCTAAAAGTGCGCTCATGCCCTCATATGATCTTGGCATTTTCCTCGCTTGGTATAATCCGCTGGACACATGGCTATAGTGTATCTGGAATCACAATTGCGATTCGATCGCCTTCTCTATCTTCCAGCTGCAAAATTGTGATTCGAACCTATTCCGTAAGCACCGTGATCGAACCAAACTGCTTCCGGGTTCAACGAAAGTTTTGGAGAAGGCATTCAAAACGGTGAGTTCTTTTTGTAGTCCTCAATGCATACGGATCGCAGCCGCATCTACTTACGTCCCCATGAAAAAAACCGAACAGTAATGATATGAAGAAATGAAAGTCAGGTGATATGCGACAATAAGCATAGGGTAGAATGGCTAAATAGTATGAAAAGCGCACATGATCAATGGGCCAAGTTAGCGCCATTAATTCTTCGGCCGCATCCTCGTGGCTCCTACATGTGACGCTCATTTGATCAGCTTTTCTATGTCCGTACCACGTCATTCACGCTCGGCCATCTGTTCTTTACTCCTCCTTGGACGCATCACTGGTTTTAAGAGTCCACTCATAGAGAAGCCTTTCGAGCCCGTTTCCACGCGGTAGCCCCGTCAGAAGCTGGGTGGTACCCAGTATGAAGCCTGTTGTTGGCCAGCGGATGAGAAGTCTTTCACATTGGGCTCAACCAATGGCAGCAATTTTGGCTTGTAGCCTGAGAATGAGAGCCTTTTACCGGCCTATAATATCTTCCGGCGGTACGAAACCCTCCACTAGATCATTTCTGTTGAGCCATATTAGCTTTTAATAGTGCGGCAAGTTCGAGGTGCCTGCCTTCTGATTCACCTCTATATCCTGCCAGTCTCTAAAATGACCGCTCTTTTACATTGCTTGAACGTTTACCTTAGGTACCTAAACCTCTATATGTTGACCATTTTGGCTCAGTCCTTTGATTGGTCAACTTACGGAGGTTTCACTGCAGTGGTGCCTGTTATCTGTGTGCTCTCAGCGGAAACACAGCAATCGACGATGACAAATATGTATAAAGCACAGCCAGCTTAGACTATTCAGCTTTTGTCGGCCAGTGGCCGAAGGCACTACATGCCTGCCTTCCAATCCAGATGTCACCAGATCAAATCCGCTTACGTACTGGCGACCGCCCAGGTCATCCGCGACCGGTGGTTTTGGGTGTCAGTGAAACGTCGGCACGATGTGCTGGCGTACTGCTAACATCTTTTTAGCGCTCGGCTTTTGTGAGAATTTCGGTGGTTTCTTTCTAACATTTCCTGATACCTCTAGTAAGCACGGACAATGCTTTCAGTGTTAATGGTCAGAGATGAGCATTTGCCAACGTGTTCGGAGCTCATTGTTCGCATCTTTCTGTTTTGTGGCGCTGGTTGCATACCTAAGCTGCACATCATACCTTTGATCTGCAAACTCGTAACCCGCCACCTGCGTAGGTAATTGAACTTTTCGGTTGATCCATTGGCCTCAATGATAGGTGTCGCTGATTTTTCAGATGTCGACAAAGACGTCTAGATAGACGGACCAATACTTGCTCGGAGCTTATGCTAATTTCCGTTATATGTAAAGTGAACCGATAAATCATTTCAAGCAGTCGTTTGTCACGTGCCGGTGTATCTGTACAGTAGAACGTTTCTTGGTTTGCAACCAATCTAGAAACCAGATTATTCCATATAATTCGCTCATCTCTCATCAAGCCAGGTCAAAATAAACTTTATGTATCCAGATGAGAACATTTTCAGCATTTTGCAATATCGACTACGGATGAGCTAAAATTACATTACCAGAACTTTAAATTTTTATGAATAGAATGAGTAAACGACCGGTATAAAAGAGCAACAATTAAACATTTCCGGATAGAATAATCTGTTGGGGGCCATCGTTGCAATCTAGATTTCCAATCGGGACGGTGCATCTTCAAGTGCGCAGTTTCTTGAGTTTTTCTTCAAAAGTTGGGGAGGGACAGCAATGTTGACATAGGAAATAGTTCGACAAAGGTCAGTGATGAAGTATTCCGAGAAACCTAATATATTCACAGCGATATTGTAAATACAGTGTTCAGTGAAAACGGCACGGCCGATTCAAAGCCCGCGCCAAACATCATCAGTGAGTCTAGCAACATTTCAGCAGCGACTTACCTGCGTGGTGAATGCTAGCACCGGCCATCCACTTCGCTACATGCACACCATTTACTTCAAGTGATTTTCCGTAGTTCTCATCAAAGATAACCACAACCAAAGGTTTATTCTCTGTGGATAACCTCTATATCGACACAATTCCTTCCCACTTTCTCTGCACAGTCCACACACCCTCCCAAGAAAGTCATTGAGGATCTGGCCAAAAAACTGGAAGTGGACAAACATGTGATTCGCGTGTGGTTTTACAATCGACGACAGCGACCAAAATCATCAACCGCATAATTCTTGTAACATTTCTCCCCATATACTCATTTTTTGCGCAGTGAACCCAGTCGTCTTAATTCGTGTCGCCAAAATAATAGCCATATTGATAACAATGACAGTGATGATGGTTATTCAAAGATATGCACAGGCATCACGGTCACCAGATGAAAGGAACGAAGCCAAGAGCGCCCTGACCGACATGGCACCGAACGATTGATGTGGTCTGTGCATTGTTCAATGATTATGTCATGATTATAGGTGGAACCAATATAAATACTGAAACGACTACGTACGCGGCTGTTTGACTCAAGCAGACAACATCCACAAGCTTGCTTTCTCAAATAAATGAAGGACATTGGGCGGTAGAAATACATTTCAACAACCGTCAGTGAATGTGTATGTCTAACCAGTGTAGAAGTGCTGTTCTCTTGGCCACTGTATTGTGGGAGAAAGTGGATATTTAAATCTGTACAACTCCACCGGAATATGATCAAAAACATCATAAAATTATCCGCCAACTGTTGGTAATCTAAGCATTCCTCAATTTATTATGTAGCATTTAATAATGTATGAATTGCAATATCATTTGCCTTACAAATGCAAGATGCCATTGTTAGTGTACAATCGTTCTCTGAATCGAATGGCGGTGAAATGTAAATCCAACGACCCAACCCAGAACTGAGGAAGCGCCTGTTGGTCATTACGGAAGCAATGCCTATCACGCTGCTGCAACCTGAGTTATGCAAGCAGAGGACGCTTGTGCAAGCGCTCACGCTGCTCTGGCCGGAATACTTGACGCCGTCTGTACCTACCTTTGCCCAGGACTAACTGTGAGCTTTGACGCCAAACCAACCATTTCTTTCTTGTTATGTTTGCCTTTCAGTGTTTGGGGTGTGAAAGCGCGTGACGTTTACCACCTGATTGCATTGACTGATCTATCGATTAGCTTGTTGATCTTCCATTGAACTATGACCTAAACATTTAGTACTGTAGCTTTAGATAGTTTATCGGGTTGTATCAAGTTTGCTCATGATTGTAAATGCCTGAGGAAATTATCGAAGAGATCTCTTCGCAGCAACTCCTAAGGTGTGAATGGACATGATACACGAGATCCAACGACGTTTTGAACTGTTCCATCGATATGGCCTCCACGACTTGTTCTGGCATATTGTTCCAAACATTTAACACTCTCGTTGGAAGCACAGGGGTGGGGAACTCGCCTTATATTCGAAATCAAAAGCTTATACCGGTGTCCGCGTGTGTTGTTTAGCGTTCGCAAGTGAAGTAGCGGCCTCATCTTGGGGGAACCACCTAGTAGGTCATGGTGCGATCGACTTGCACCCGACGATAAAACAAGGTGTAGAGTCCCAGTTTCTCGTAAACCCGTTATTAATGTGATAGCGCATGTTAAACCCGCTCGATATTCTGTGTATCGCCTCGGGTGAGTGGACAGTAACCGAGCGAGCCGTAGTGTTGGGAGAGAAGAAGGGAATAGCAGCCTCCTCAGACCAAGCAAAAGCTGTTTTTGAGCTCCCAAAGCTTGCGCAGTCCGCTACGATATCGCCTGTTTGTGTTGTCCACGGACTTCAAATCCTAACGTCAGAGCACGCTTACGTCCTTCGCGAAAAATATGGGGTGTAGCAGTTGGCCGTTACCACCCTCCCTGAGGCTCATCAGTACTGACTTCAGTTGACTGGGAGGCGGGTCACATGCATGGGTGACTGAGGTCTTGCTGAAGCAGGCTGCAGTCGACACTCTTTAAATCCTCAGGTCATCCGCAAACAGGACAAACGGCGACCGAAGAAGCCGAGGCAGATCATTGATATGGATTAGGAACATAGTGGGCCCCATCACCTTGTCTTGGTAGATACCAGTCAGTTAGATTGCCATCGATTTGTACCCTCCGTTTTCGCCCCAAAGTGAAGTCTTGGATCCACTGGTGCGGGGATCTATTAAAACCGCAGACTCAGCTTGTCGTAGAGGACGTCATGGTTTACCTTGTCGAACGGTTTGCTAAAAGCGATGCCACTTACGTTGACGGACTTCTCTTGATTCACTGCATGCAACCATTTATGTCTCCTCACCAGCAGGTTGGTAATGCATGAGCGGCCTAGCATAAAACCGTGCTGCGCGGGCGTCAGTAGATCTTTTGAATGGAGCAGCTGTAGTAGACCCTTCTTCACGATCTTCTCGGCAACCTTAGCCAACATAGATGTCAGACAAATCGGTCTGTAGTTGTCCACTTTGCTGGGATCACCGCCTTTCGGAATCGGCTTAAGCATTGAGCATTTCCATTCGCTTGGCAATGAACCTTCGGATAGTGACCTGTTGAGCAAGTTAGTCACAGCGGTAGGGACTTGAGAATCAGTGGGTGGAGTGCATCAGAGCCAGCAGATTCGGTGTCGTCAAGGTTGGTGAGTAGTTGATGCACCTCTTCAACACAGCAAACCAGACTGTCGAGTTCCGTAAGCGCGACACACGTCGAACTCGGTACAGGCACCTGGTCATTCGCAAACACGGAAGCGAAGTGCGTCGCTATGCGTCCGAGCCCTCTAGCACTGACACCTGCTGGCTTGACCCGCTGCTTCACGTAAGCAAAGATTCTTTTAAGAGCGGACTTTGTGGCGGTTGCGGGCTGCTCTGCGAAATTCCGACGCTTTCTGGTTTTGGCACTATTGCGAGTATTTCGCTGTTTCTTATACTTCTCATAGTCGTCCCACAATTTGCACTTTCGCCTCAGCCGTTTTCTCCATACCCCTTGTCTAATCAATGTGGCTTGGTTGGTCCAACTTTTTGACACTTCAGTGATACAAACTGAGAACACAGCCATGCCACTCCCTCTCTTATAACAGTCCAAGAGTCTTCCACTGATGCAGCTTGCGGTAGAGACTAATTCACTTGGCTCTCGGCTCAAGTTAGACAATCGAAATCAGCCTTCCAAGAGTTGTAAGTTGACTTTAACGGACGAGAATACAATGAAGATGCTGGCTATGAGCACTTAGTGGTCTCTTGCTGCCAAGATATGAACTTCATACAGATGCACACAACACCAAGTCTAAGCACGATGGGGTTCAGCGCAGCGTTTTACGTGCCGGCCGGCATAAGTGCCGCGCTGCTCCATTTTCAAGTACCAAATTCAAGAGCTTTGCTTCGACCTGGCAATGTCCGGGGCATGAGTTGAATCTCAGGCCAGCGTATACGAGGACACTATCGCAATGGGGCTGGACTCACCGTGGTGCGATGGTTTGTGTGCCTCAGTGATCCATTGATCTATGCTGGGTGGTGCTTTTTTGCACCTTCAGAGCCACTCATACCAGATTGGTCAATGGTTAGAGGCCAGACAAACTCAGACTCCTGGTCCTCCAGGTTGGGGGGTTGGAATGTGGTGGCTCCTTATTCCTTAAAACGGACTCCTTGTAGCCCAACGCCAAGCCCGCTGAGTTGCGATCAGGTTTTTGAACCAAAGGCTTTGGTTGAGAACCCTAATCGTTCTCCTGTCTAGGCCTGGGCAACCTGACAGTATCCTGCCTATGCAATACTATGAATTTCTCTTCAAACAGTTTCTTGATGCTCTGGCCACCGCAGAGGATAATCAACGGTTCCCTGTCTGCTGCATCGTGCAGGGTGGATAGGGGTTTGGATGCTACTGCTCAAGCCTTTCCATCTTCTTATTCCCTCCCTTACGCTTTCTCTCTTACCGTTCCGTTCCAGCTTCACTTTATTTCCCCTGGTTTTCAACTCCCCAATTCCTGGCCCTCCCCCACCTTGCTTTGCTAGGCTTTTACCTTCTAGTTTCAACTCACATGTGAACGCGGATCGTCATTCCTGTCCTGTCGACAAGCCCATGTCCTTACTAGCAGCAGGCAAATCCTCATATGGTAAGTCTAATCGTCAACATGGACATTGGGTCTCTTCGCGGTCTCTAGAACTTATCGATGCTCGCCTGCATAGCCCGGCAGGAAGCGAACACAATGAAACTCGCAAAGAGCTCCGGGCAAAATTCCATGCTAGCCTGAAGAGAGACCGCGAATCCTGGTGGCCTCATCGTGCATCAGAGATGGAAATGACCGCTGCGCTTGGTAACCATCGTAAGTTATTCCGTTTGATACGGGAAACGGGCAGCAGAAGACCTGGTGTTAATGAAATTATACGTGACGAAAGTGGACAGCCTATCCACAACTTGTTAAAACGCTTGGAGCGTTGGGCTGAGCACTTTGAAAGGCAATTTAATCGGTCGAGATTGTTAGATTTCTCGCCGGCCACTGATCGCCCCGCTGCCTAGGCTGTCCCTTTGGATCCACCCTCTCACTCAGAAGTCGAACGTGAGATCGGACCGCTGAAGTTGACTAAGGCCGCGGGATGACCTCCAGCCCTCTTCAAATTCGGGGGACCTGCTCTTGTGGATGATTTATACGAGTTACTAGTGAAACTGTGGGAGCAGGAAGCTGTCCCAACCGACTGGAGCCGCTCCGTTATTGTTCCCATCTTCAAAGGAGGCTCGCGCTCGGAATGCGGCAACCATAGAGGAATCAGTCTGATCTCCATCGCCTCCATAATCCTTCACAGACTGACTGCCACTTGTGAAAGCCATATTCATGAAGAGCAAGACGGGTTTCGTCGAGGTCCTGGCTGCATTGACCACATCTTCACTTTGCGTCAGTTGTTGGAGCACCGTCACGCATATTGGCGGCCCACCGTAGTCATGTTTCTCGACATCAAAGGTGCATTCGATTCGGTTGATCGATGTGCCCTTTGGGACTGTCTACTCAGGAAAGGTGTACCTGAGAAAAATGTAAATATTATCCGAGCATTATACACGCGTAGCTCAAGCAGAGTGAGGGCTTACGGCAAACTGTCGTTGCTCTTTAGAATCTCCAGCGGTGTGAGACAAGGATGCCCGCTGTCACCTTTCTTCTTCAACTTCGCCATTGACGTAGTCATGGAAATTGCGTTCACAGGACGCGACTTAGAAGGTGTGTGTCTGCTCCCAGGAGAACGACTTCTTGACTTGGAGTATGCTGACGATATTGCCCTAATCTTTGACAGCTCACATACGTGCCAAACCGCACTGGACAGATTAGCACTGGCTGTCAGCCGCTTCGGGCTTTGCTTTGCACAATCGAAGTGCAAAGCGTCCCTCCATTATTGGCCTGGACCGCCTCCTACGCTGACCGTTGGTGGGGATCAGCTAGAAGTCGTTCAAAAATTCAACTACCTGGGAAGTTGTATCAGCGTTCGTGGGATTGAAGATGAGATCACGAACCGTATAGCAAAAGCTCGAAGTGCTTTTGCTGACCTTCGCCATTTATGCCGCTGGCGCGACATCACTCTCCCTGAAGGGTAGAGTGTACAATGCGGCGGTACGTTCGACCTTACTGTACGGTTGTGAAACCTGGCCACTTAGATCAGCGGACATAAAGAGGCTAGTTACATTTGACCACCGATGCCTTGTAGTTTGGCTCACATCTGGTGGGAACACCGCGTGAGTAATGAGTGTGCTCGAGGGCTTGTTTACGGCACAGGAAAAGGAAATAATCGCTCAGCACCGTCATTTCACGCACCAGGCTCCGATGGTTCGGCCACGTGTTGCGCATACCAGCCCACCGACTTCCACGACGTGCGTTGTTTGCGCGCCGGGGGTGTAGATGGAAGAAGAGGAGAGGTGGCCAAGCGATGACTTGGTCGAGAGGAATGAAGGCACTCACCTCAGAGCTGGTCCCAGCTGTAGCGTCACGGCTCTTTGGTTGGGGTCCAAAAGACGATGAACATGTTTGGCTGGGTACACTTGTTGATATGGCTAGGAGCCGACCTCAGTGGCGTTCGTGTTGTGAGTTTCTTTGTCCCACCCCATCCCTCAGCCTCCACCTCCAACCACGATCTCATTATTTAACATTTTATAATCTTGCATAGGAAATTACTTTTCTGCTGCATAGTAGCCGGCAGACGGCTTACCGAAACGATGCCCATCCGTTACCGGTAGCTCAGCTGGCTTGCACCTGTATCATTTTATTCCCTTCTTTTCTTTTAGGTATTGCGGCACAGTAGTTGAGGTGTTTCCCACGTCTAGCTAACGTGTATATTGTGTGCGTGTATCCGAGGACAATTGATAATGGGGACAGCTCGGTTTTCTGGGCCTTCACATTAGGATGCAGCTATGTCTCCGCGAGCCCCACAACGTCTGGCCACTCTGATGCAACGAAACAAATGTTCATCACGCTGGTTCATAAGATTGCTAACGTAGACTACACTCAAGCCGTAGCAGGGACTCCTGGGCTTGGTCGAAGCGTAGCCAACCTGTTTATCCTGCTTCGTAGAATATTGGAAACGACCCGAAAATTTATGGTTTGCATATTTCTAATGGAATGGCCCACGTGTGGCTGTTCCTTGAGATCTAATTAAGTAGGATGCATCCTGGATGTGATAAAAACGGCTGCGAATTCACGCCTGCCACAGGTACCCGTCTCGGAGGCTCCATAGGGGCCATCGACACTAAAATCAGAACTAGACGGTTTAAAATGAGTGACGGCGCCGACGCCTCGGTAAAACCCACAAACCTCTAGGGAGGGTAGCGTGAGGATCATTGTTACCCCTTTTGACTGACGCGAACACTGAAAGTTCAAATGCGAAACGGAGTTTTTAATTTCATGGATGACCTATGCTGATTGTTGTTGGAATAAGTCAGATGTGGCCTCATTGGATGAGTGCCGGCGGGGTACAGAACACAGACAATGTTTGGTGAACGAGCGACGATTCGTTCTCGTTTTTGGGGACTCGGTCTTTATCTACAGGGTCATGATAAGCGGTAATCGAGAGCTCTCGATTCAATTGTGTGTTCAGGGAGACAATAGGGAGGAAATTAAGCTCACGAATCTGACAGCAGTCGCATGGATATCTTTCCGAAGCTCGGCTATATCTTTAGGCCTTGGCAAATGTTACCCTTATTACCACAGCCCTTTAAGGCTGAGAATGTACCAGGTGGCCAGAAACCACCTCACTTGAATCCGGTGATAATAAACCGTTTAATGCCGGACATGCTCCCTTGTCGTCAGCTTTCGCTATTAATAACATCACTACTGTATTTCGTGCTGATGCTGCAGTGCTATGCAATCATAAATCGAGGGGGACAACCGTGTTAGCAGATAATAAGAAGACAAATGGAGTGGACTCAGTGCAACATCCAACGTTTGCACTGAGGACTGCGATAGAAAGACGAATAGTGCGAATCGGGTGAGGGACAGATGGACAAAAACAAGGGAGGCGTCAGTAGTAGTGGCCTGTATTCGTTTACCCACTATGAGAAGCAATCGGCATGCTCGCGTTCCTCATCAGAGAAACTGAGTTGATGTTCTGAAACTAGACGGCCACTGAAATATCCATTATGGTGACTGTTGGGATCAAAGTTACTTTAGCTCTTGCTGGTTTCTCCAAATATATATGATCATTACTAAGTGGGAGACATCCTGAAGCACTTGCTGTCTTGATGAATTGTGACGCGCAATCTCAATCGGGACCGCGACTCACTTCGAAATGAACCTTGGTCAATTCGGGCGGTGCAATGTCATCTGGAGTACTTCGCTATTAACCGCCGTGACAAGATATACGCGCCGCAACGAGGTGGTATAGTTGTAGAGATTTCTGCTGATATCCCAAAGGCATCAGCAGTATGCCGAGGCGTCGCTGCGGCGGGACCACCACCGCGAGATCCGCACACCTACACGGATTCGGACTGGCTATCACAGGATTGCAGCGCCAGCGCGCAATCATTACGGCCACCGCGGCCGAACTTGGCACCCCAGAAGCCCCGGGTCCAAGTCTAGTCCTGCCATCTCCATCCAAACGTGGAATGTAGTATTGAGGGTGGACAACACCTGCTATATATCAGTATTATCATTTTTATGATGCAGTTCAGGGCAACCGAACTCACCGCACCTCGATGCACGGATCATAACTGGGTCGATTGATCAATCTAGCGGGAGTAGCCCTGAAGCCGCTTACATAGTTTCACACTAGGCAGCTGGATGGAGCGCAATCCAATCCCATCGCAATGGATTTGAAAACTAACACGAAATGTAAGAAACTAGCATTTGTTACCTGTCATGTGTGTCGACATCCTGGATCAACGAGTCCACAGGCGACCATCGGACAATCATCAGCGACGAATTTCCGCTGCGGACAGAATGCACGTAATAAATCAGGGTTCGATGTTCTTACTCTTCAGAGTAAATTGTTTCTGTAGCATTTTCCCGATTGCCACCCGTCTACATTTTATATGCTTACGACGACGATCCCCTAGGTAGAGTTGGTGTCCGAATGACACAGGCACTGGTGTCAGGCTACTGAATATGGCAAACTCCACGTTTCAAGTAGACCCCCTGTTTAGAAATTTGGCCGATTAGCAGGCGCTTGGCGGGTAACATGTCTCAAAATTAACATTAAAGACCAGAGAAGTGTCAAAAGCCCCGGTCTTACCTGCGGGTACGATGAAATTTCTTAGGACTGGATTTCCACCAATCGTATTTTATCAAAAAACAGTGTTTGCGGGCTGTACATCATGTATTTATGGAAATAAGCAAATAATAGAGTCGAAAACATCAAGGTCGCACAGGTTTGATGATGATGAATCACAGTCGTAGGCAGAGGGGAAGCAAGTTTACCAGAAGGCGCACCTGGAAAAAGAAAACATGGAGACGAAAAAGGATTACCTTAAACGATTTTCGAAGAACGTTAAAGCCTTTCATAAACAAAGCTGGCTAGCAGTCTAAAATGGATCCCAAGTACCCCAGGCGCCGTGGCTGCATTTGGCGTGGGAAACGCGAGAAACGGTTAAGAACGATGTAGACGAGCAGTGTTTCAACGTTCGGACCGACGTCGGTGGGTCGACGGCAGTGTTCGTCCTATAGTCCCACATGTGACAGAAGTATCTAACATGTAACGGTCAACTTCCGGCACGTGTCGCGAGCACGGTTTCATTCAATTCACTTCTAGGTCTGCGGCGATTTGAGGACACCGCACAATGACTCAATGGGGTAACATTTTTCGACACTGCCTTGGGCAGCTGTTTCTTACAGTGGCATGCGATACGATGAACAACGTGTCCGTCGAGTGAACGAATACATTTAAAAACGTTCGTAAGCAAGTATAATCCATGAAAGTGAGGCGAGTGACTCACCAGCCTATATACATCTGGCAAAGGTTCTGGTTCGAAGTGGCTTCGCGCACCAAATAGTCCACCTGACTTGGAACATCCATGGGTTGATCACGTTCCATCCCAGTCAGCTTCTGTCTGATCCTTGCCATCACAACGCGCGCGCGATTGTTGCCCAGTGTTGTCGGTTGCGCTAGAGCAGAGTGTTGAGGAAAAGTGATCGATCAAAATGGGTGTCGTCACACTTTAAGCTGACTTAAGATACTCAACACATGCGCAAAGTGGTTTTTCTCTGCCCAGCGGACAGCTCAGACCGAACAAGCGTACGAGGATGAGAAGTGAACGTACATGTTGGCAATAAAAAGCCATAGTTGTGGGTGGGCACCCAAGCTGGGACTTACATTCCGCTTCCACGGTTGAGGGATCTTCATTGACAGGGGGTTTGGCAGAAAAGATAAAACCCTGGAGACCTATAAAATGAGGAATTGTGTACTAGGAGCAGCATAACGGATTAGACCCTAGTCCAATCTCACCCAAAGGTCGTGATGATATCCTAAATTAAAACAATATTGGGTCCAATAAATTGACAGCTTGGATACAGGAGCGGTATGTGTTCATTGCGTAGCTTCAACGGTTAATAAACTCCGAAAGACCACTCGCTCATCAAGCATCTATCGGCAGATACTGCATAATCGCGCAACCGAAGCATCTATGATTTGCGAGTGATAACGGGAATGACATAGATGGAAGTCTTTCGTACAAACTTCATTACTCAAGTAACGGAACAAAGAAAAAATGAATAAAAAGATAGACTGGGACGCAAAGAACCTGATTAGCTGCCATACCGCCAAGATTATGAAGCCCCGCTGTGGGCCTCACCCTGAGGGGCGGTTAGGCTCACTGTGCACACATAAGACGAAATGCCCTCAAGACACTTTTGACGAAGTGTTGCGCATTGTTCTGGGCAAAGTACTAGATGTGGTGAACAGAGACTTAGAACTGGGTTTAGTGGGGAAACCTGCTGGTGACAACAGTTGGTTGACTGGCAAGTAGGATTTTACCGAACCGTGGGGATTTTGATACGTGTACATGTGAGGCACCACTTGTTTATACTCTGGCCGTTGTTCGTTTCTACCTCACATTAAACTTGTGTCAATGGCGCCCACTATAGACATGAGGAGTGCGGTGCCCTGGGGCGACGCACAGACGGTGCATAGATGAGCTGCAGTATGGAGATCGCGTTCGCATCATCCACGTGTACAGTCCATAAAAATTCAAGATCTCATTTAGTTCAGCGTTTTTAAACGACCAGTTGAAAAACATTGTCGATGTAGTTGGAAATCACGAGCATCAGATAACAACTACCAGTTGGTCAAGGCTGAAGCGCTCAGGGAGAAACTCATGAAAAGTCACTTTCTAACCTTGTCGTTCCACAATAATTCCTCCGGTTTCCGTTTGTTTGCGTAAGCGTTTTGCTGACAAAAGAAAAGAAATGCACAGACGAAATGTGAAAGAATCAGGGTGCTGATTCAAATGCACAGGGATCAGCTATTATCAAAAGAACCGCATCTTGTTGAATCGGTAATATGATATTCAAGGCCGCTTCAGATACGTGACGAATCAAATGCGTCGAGGTAGCAATCAGCTGATCGTGGGATGACCGTGCCATGGCAAACTGCAAATACCATACATCAGCCGATGCTCTTTGTACGCTTTTTCGTTTCTGTAATGGGTGGTCGGCTTATAAAAATGTTATGCGTAATTTGAAAAAGCCACCCAGGAATTTACTGCACATCTCTGCTCCTATCTCCTCTTAGCACCACGGTATAGCAGACGGAGATATTTTTCTCACAGTGTCCACGCAGCACTGTGGGCGGCGTGCCTATATAACTACACACGTTATTTTTGTGGCGAAAATTCCCGGTATATTGCACATTTGACGTTCGCAACGGATGACAGTAACAGAAACATACGGGAATATACAGATTCAAATAACATCACATGCAATAACATGGGAAAGAACGTGACAGAAAAATACTTACCGATAGATTTTTTGGGGGTTGGCTAATATGGAGGCCTACGACTTTGGACAAACGATGTCGCAAAGTTATATTGTCGGTCTTTCCATGGACGGGCCTATATCCGATAATATAAGGTTGTTGGACAACGAGGAGTAGCTATTGTATTTACGTTTCACCACATAATGTGGTTCATCGGGAGACCGATGAGCATTGGAAACGAGTTTAACGAGTTCTGCTGCAAAGCGAAAAGAAAAATCCATACGCAGCATTTAGGTATGCTCAAGAAAATTTCCGATGCTAAAAGCTGGCTGGTAGCCTAATGCGAAAAACTCATGCTTTACCTAATCTAGTGACAACAACGGACAGCTTTGATGGCAGAGACCGACGCACAACGTGGCACCAAGGCTACTTCACAGTCACTCATACAAGAGCAGCCGAACTCGGTCACAATATCATTAGTATAGTAAACTGGAGAGAGGCTGATCTTCACCCAAAATGCGGTTGCAATAGGCGATAATTCATAATACGTGAACCCAGCCCTGTTGGCATAGAGCACGAGGGCAACGACTTGTCACTGAGGAAAGCGCGAATATCGCTCAATGGTCTGCTACCACCCATTTCAAGCTTCGGAACAAATCCACCACTCCACACGCGGTTGATGATGATAATTGGCGCTTCGGCATCCCACTCACTGGGTAAAGGGCAGCTCCCAGAACTGTTCACAAAACAGAGGCAGCGGGAAGAGTGCGGACCGTTGCTGCCTAGTCCATCGAAAGGAACGCGCATAACCTCGGATCTAGTCTTTCTGTTGACGCAAAAGCTGTGCATCTCCACAAGATGTCAAACACCCGACTGCAGAAGCCTCCGATCAGTATCATAAGGTAGATGGTAACTCCCAAGAGGAGACGACGTTTGTGCATACAGATAGAATTATGCCAACCACCTGAGACTTACCTGCTTTGTAGCATCCGAACCAAGGGCCATTGCATAAATGATGTCGCCAAGGATTCACTTTGTACGGATCACGCAGGGAAACACTGTCCGGATGGTTGGGGTTGGTGAAAACACGTTTTGACAACAGGAACTGATACGGTTGACGATGATGCTGGTAATCCAACGCGGTGGGTTGCAGCTGACTGGAGTTGGGCGGAGCCAGACCCCCGGTGCGGTCCGTTGGTCTGTACGCAGTTGTGGTTTGGGCACCAAGGTTCTGCAACGAGGGCACGTAGGAAATGGGGCAACATTACCAAATCGGGGACAGTGATGGTTGGATGACGAAGAATCAAAAAGCTCGCACGAAAAAAACCAAACGAGTACTATGAAATGCAACTTGCAGGAGAAATACATGGTAGGGAAAACCATGGACTAATTCGATGGAAGAGTCACACGTTTCATAGAAATTGAGCAAAGCCCATCACGGAGTACCACACTTAAGGAGATGGGAGTGTGTGATTCAACAATTGGCGAAAAACGTGATGGTTGAATGAGCTCACTTGACGATGATAGTGTTGGTCACCTTGCTTATGATTGATCCTAGCATGCTGAACTCCAGCAGGTAAAGCCATACCTCCGTTCGCCAGTACAGCGATGGCAGCGTTGCCCTGCAGTTGAGCAGTCAGATCCACCCCCTCGTCCGATTTCGGATCTAGCTGGTTGAAATCTTTTCGACTCTCGAGCAACACCCATTGAAGGAGCGGATCATGAATAAACGCTTCTAGGACAGCCAACAGGCTGTCACGACTTGCACGCATCAGAGACATCACCATATGACAAGTTTGTCGGTAAACCCCATCGATTCCGGTGACCTTAGGGGAGGGATAACCAAGTCGGGCAGAAAGGACATCTGTTTTGTGACCGAGCGGATAGGTAATTGAGGTGAGACAAGACAAATATAGATTTAAAAACGAGATGTAACATCGTAAAACCCAGTCCTTCAGGGACAAGGTGAGCAATGACAAAATACAGCATAGCTCGTCCACACAGCGCGTTCATGTATATTGTCTGCCCATTACCATTACTAAGGACAGTGTTTCCTCCTTACTCCAATTAAACAACTGTCAACAGTCGTCATCCGATCAGCGGAGCTTGATGTGGCTGATAACAGAGGCCGTTCGGTTCGCATCTGGTCGACTGCCTCATAGGTCTCGCTGGTATATCTGCTCTATCCGATACACTACTCCTATCACAGAACACACGTCGAATACACCGTCTGTTCCGAGTGTATGGTTAAAAAACAATTCTATCGTCGATACGCTTCAGAACCACTGCATACGTCCATAGCATCAAAACGGGCTATGAGTGTTATTCATTCATTTCATATGCCGCACAATCATGTACTTGGTAAAGATATAACAGTGTCCAAGACGGGTACTTAGTCAGAAAGGTTGCACTCAATCAGTAAACCGCCAAGACACTCAAACTGCCGGAAAAACCATTATGAGTTAGGGAATGAAGACGACGAGAACTTGCATCTCAGAAGCAGGGGTACTGAGGACACATTGGAGTCGAGTTCCATTGCGATGGAATTGGCCAAGCTGTAGTGAGTGCAGGGATAGTCGGTCCGTCTGCCAAACCGAAGAGTTCGCACGCAACCTTGAACCCAGTCTGCGGGGCATCGACTGTCACCACTCGAACAGAGAGAGGTGTGCTTACGACCGACATTGGTTGCCGTGTAACATGAAAAAGGAACTGGACAAGCCCACTTTTGCAGATGTGGCCAGGCTAGACTGAGCTACGAAGGTCGCGGCACTCACTCTGATGAGGCTAGTCACATGGACCTGGGCAAAACGAGGACCAGCCCCACTATCACCAACGTGTCAAACCGTTGCACGATGAATCATCCTCTGAACGCATATGGACTCGCAACCCCGTCCGACTCATATTTCTGTTGTCCACATCACAGTTACTGTTTGAGGTAACGGATCGCACAATTATGCACTTGTTCACATTCCCAGGCAGCTAGGGAGACGGCGGGTTTATCGATTAAATAGGGGTCTCCAACGCTGTGGTTCGACAAGGTTTACTAAATGAGTCGAATATCTGGTCACTGCGCACGGAAGTCATTTGGAGACAAACTGTGATGAATCACCGAAGCATTACTCTTTTCTAGGGAACCATCAATTACGCAACGGGTTTTCTGGTGCTTCCTTGGAGTTCCTGTTGATCACGAATCGCCGTCGTTGACTGTACCTGTTCGGCGCCAACCTGCTACTCGACTGCTTCGGCGTGTATAGTTTCTCAAGCATGCGTCTAGTTGGATGAGGACATGGAAAGTGAGTATGAAGAAATCAGAAGGTGCCTATCGTCATCCAGGATGTGTGGAGATTGGCCAGATTAACAGATACGGCAGTCGGCCGGTAGCCGAAAGAATTGCACACTTGTCTTGTAATCCGGAGGTCACCACATCGAATCCGCGTAGGTGTGAGCTTCCTCGCGATATACCCAACCCACGCCCGACCTATGGTGTTCGCGTGGCAGCGAAGCTTTGGTACAATGGGCCGGAATACTGCTGATGCTATGTTTTAAAGATATGGTGCGAAGGCGAAGTGATTGACGATCCTGCGTCCGTTGCCTCATCGCTAACGCTATTTTTCAATGTGGTGATCACCATTCCTGTCCACTTCTATTGAAAGACAAGAATATAGCTATTATTACTTTCTTGGCAACGCGATTCGAAGCCACCAGCTATCAGCATTACGCCGGTACGCAGTACCGACGCTTCGCTGCCGCGCAACCACCACTAGTCGCGCATGGGCTAAGGATACTGGGAGGGTCGCCCGGTCCCCTACGCGGGCTCGAACACGCGACCTCCGGATAACAAAACAGGCTTGTAATCTTCTAGGCCACGGGCCGCATATCGGTGCACGGATCACAGATGACCCACTTGGGAGAACTAGTTCACACCGAATTCAACGAAGCGTTTCAAAAGCGAAACATTGCCTTAAAAATCCATTCCTGGAAACTATTTTATGACCCCTCAAATTTCGCGCAATTCTGTTCATCTATCGCCATCAGACTGTCGTGTAAACGTTATCCACTGGATGTGGACACGATGTATCTCGCACAATTACAGTGGAGCGAAAATGGAAGTTAGTTTATGACTGAGTGAAGGACGCGCTAAAAACGAGGCTTCGCACAAAAGCATCAAGTCATGTGCCTCAGTAACGATTTTTATATTAAGCGGATAGATACGCTCCTGGTTGATTAGATATCGTTGACGCGAACGATAATGAATGGAGATTAAATGATCTCTAAATAAAAACGGTGGCCAATTCAAGAGCAATTCAGTTCAGATAACCAACTGTGAGCCGAAATGCGGTGGAGCGCGTTATCATGACCCGCGTCGCCAAAGTATCAATTAACAAAAGCGAAGAAAAAAAGGTGGGATGCATCCGGAAAAGTGACTACTGAATCCTGAGAGTAGAGAGCGAGGAGATAAGAATCTGTGTTGCTTCATCATAGGTGGATCGGGCACTTGCGCAGTGGCAGCATATTGCAACTACACTAGACCTTATCCGGGTGCGATACGCTCCCTATACCCGTAGTCCGCAAAGTGAGCGTCAAGGAATCTCTTAAATTTCGATACCGATTTCATCTCGACTACCACCTAAGGCAATTTGTTCCAATATTTCACCACTCGACGCTCGTAGCATAGAGGGTGAGCCATGCGCTTTAAATCCGGCACCACTAATTTGTACCGGTGTCCGCGTCTGCTGCTTGGTGCGCGAAAGTGCAACAGCAGCCTCAACATACGGGAATGACCCAGGTGCAGTATCCGGTGCGCCATAATGAGATCAACTCGAAGCCGAAGATATGACAGGGTATAGAGTCCTAGTCTCCTACATCGGTCCTCGTACGACATACCCCGTAAACTGGGGACGAGCCGGGTAGCTACATGCTGGACCCGTTCTAGTCTCTGCACCTCATCTATTGTAATCGGACAGGCGGGTGAGCTGTTCTCAAGTACCGGTCTTGCCATCGAAGAGAACAGACGGGTGACGATCTCTTCAGACCAAGCGCAGAAGCTACGTCTGTGGCCAAAGCAGGCGTAGTCCGTTTGCGTACAGTCTGTTCGTGTTATCGACAGACTTCAGGTCACAGCGTGAGAGTTCGCCTAGATCCTTTACGGAACTGGTGGGATGCAGCGGTTGGCCGGGCAGGGTGTACACACACCCATTACCACCCCTCCCCAGGCTCATAAACAAGGACTTGGCAGGGTTGACCGGTAGGTCATCTTCTGCAGACCACGGGGATGGGCGGTCGAGGTCTTGCTGAAGGACGTCACAGTCGGGGAGAATAAATAATCCTCCAAATCTGCAGGTCACCTGCAAATAATGCGCAGGGCGACCGAAGAAGCTGAGATACTTCGTTGACGTGAAACAGGAACAAATTGGACCCCCAGCACCATTGTGCATTGGCGTACACCGCTAGTGGTGGGGTACCAGTCCGTTAGGTGGTCATCCACCTGAACCCGCCATCTCTCAATAAAAAAGTCACTGATTCACTAGTGCACTGCGCCACCAACACTACACATCCTCAGCTTGTGGAGCAGAACCGCATGGTTCATTTTAACAAAACCTTTACTCAAATCAATGTAGATAATATCCACTGACTTCTCCCGGTTCAACGCTTGCAACCCCTCCTGCCTCGTCAACAGCATGTTGGTGATGCACGAGCGCTCTTGCTTTGTAATCTGACGGCGCGGGTTCGGGCACGCGCAGGGGCCCTCGCAGTATCCTTAGCCTACGTGCGACCGGTGGTGGTTGCGCGGCAGCGAAGTTTTGGTACTGCGTACTGGGATACTGCTTGTACCAACGATACGAAGCCTAAACTAAGTACGTCGTACGAAACTTAACTAAAAACTACAAACAAATAAACCTAGACTTAAAGCACGATCTGGGCAGAAGAATAAAACGCTTTATCCTGTATCCGTGGTTCTATAATGCATATTAAATACAGTACATGACTTACGAATAGGTTTTGCAATCGTAGTGCAAGAGCGCAGAAATTGTACAGCGTGCGGCGGCGTGCGAGTATTTGGGCAGTGTCACAGTAACATAATAATATGAATGACCTTGAAACACCAAGGATGTCAGTGATGGAGCGAAAGGAATAAATATACGATATGGTAACCGATCGTAGGACATAGTAAAGCAATGTAAAATGAGCAGAATAATTAGGGAATAGAGATATCGTGTCCTCATGTAAGCAATCCAGACTGGGGATACATCAAAGTTCCTTTTGGACTTTACACTCCCCCGGCGGTTTTGTATTTCAGGCGATGGCTTCCATGTCATCACTCTCTTCTTCCTGGTACGCTTCTAGTAGGCATAGCTGTCTGACGTCTCTTCTCAATACACCTTTGATTGTCCTCACCAGTGCTTGTCGAACTAATTGATCTGCTCTTGATAACTCCCTCCACGACACCCTTAGGCCACAGATCTCTTGATGTGCGTAAATCACAAACTAAAACTAAATCGCACTGCCTAAGATCTCGGATTTCAGTTAACCACTTCTGTCTATTCTGCAGTGTTGGTAGATATACTCTAATCTACCTACGCCAAAACATTTCGGACAGATGTCTTACCTGTCTCCACCTTCTGCTCATTTTGATTGGTAAATTGATCGGTGGGTATTCAAGCGACTGATCATTTGAAAGCGTTAGTAGTTGCCGAGGCGATATAACATCTTGCGAGTCCGGGGAGTCAGGTACCGCTACCAAAGGCCTGTCATTCATATCCTTTCAATCTCAGTGAGTGTCATTGCAAGTACCTCTTCGGCCACAACCTTGCCGTTGAGAATGTTA